GGTTGGGTGCTCGACAAAATAAATAATAAAAAACTGAAAAAAAAAACGGCACACCAAGAGCATATAAGGGAGTATTCAGTCAGCTGAGAGTCGTTGAATGAATATGTCACAACGAGTGTCTTGTTAAAAAACTTATTTTTTAAATAAGAGGCACTATTTCGTGCAAAATTGCCAATGTGATTTACATGTTGGGTTGCCCCTGCAATCTTTGCTATGTGGGTAGAACTAGCAGACCTTTAAAAACCTGCATTTCTGAACATCGTTGGTCTATCAGAAACCAAGATCCCAAAAGTCCGGTAGCTCAGCACTTCGCTAATTTTAGACCTTACAATATGTAGCCAGGAATAGAATTAGTCAAATATCCACGGCGGGGAGGGGACATTAATAATTTACTTTTAAAACGTGAGACCTTTTGGATTTACACATTAGATACTAGCACATAGGGGATTAAATTAAGATTTTGATATTCGTCCGTTTCTTTACAAATTTTTTTCTTGGTTTTCCATGTTTATGCAGGTATCATGTTTTTCTTTATTATTAATAAAATTGCATGATTAAAATTTGACTTTCACATTTAGTTTGTGGTATTTTTCTTTTGCCTTTGTGTTCCATGACTTTTTTTGTGTGCATGTCACGTGTCATGTGATCCTTGATTAATCACCTGTGAGTATAAAGGCTTGTTTGGTAAAAACTTTCAACTGTCCGACGATTCGAGCCTGCATGCTCGAAACGTAACCCGTGTGTGTTTTTTTTTGTATATATTTTGGAGCCTTGGTGTGCCGATTTTAAAATGTAATTTATACCTGTGATGATGACAAAGCTGAAAACCTGTGATTTTCAGCATCATTACTCCAGTGTCTTCAGTGTCACATGATCTTTCATAAATCATTCAGATATGCTGATTTGGTGCACAAGTAAAATTTCTTATTATTATCAATGTTAAAAACAGATGTGCTGCTTAATATTTTTGTGGAAACCGTGATACATTTTTCTCTGGATTCCTTAATGAATAGAAAGTTCAAAATAAGTTTTCAATGCATCTTAGGTGAATAAAAGTCTTAATTTCTTAAAAAAATACTTTTGAACAATAGTGTATATGGAAAAAAAAAACATACATTTTGAGTGTGTCTTCTCTATTTTGCCAGAACTGAACTATTTGTTTAGTCATTGTTATAAAGAAGGAAACAAATATGCATTTGAATAGTAAACAGAAATCTAAAAAGGTCAAAATCTATTTTAAAGGCATTTCACAGAAATATACAGATTAATTCAGAAGGAAAAAAGCCTAATCTCATCAAATATTGACTCGGGTTTGCAGTTTAAGGGATACTCATGTTGAAGAAGGATATGGGAAAGATTTAGGAACAGAGAGAGATTCAATTCTCTTTGCAGAGAGTGTAATGTCGAAATCTGTTATGTGCATCTATAAAAATGTATTATCAGTTTTTGTTTAATAGTAATTAATGTCAAATCACTAATAACTAATATCATGTTCATGCAGTTTATAATTGCATCGAGCTTGAGTTATAAATATCTCATATGATATTTGGCTTCATGTAATGGTTGTGTAACTGATGGCTCTGCATGCTGGTCTGGATGAGGCGAGTCAGGACAGGTTCCAGACGTCAGCACTCAAACTCACAGATGTGAGGGGTGAAAATTAGATTGAGATATTTATAACCACAGTGCTGGTCCCTTCATCTCTGTAGTCAGAGATCTCTTTTGGTTGCAGATGTACTTTAAAAGGCATTTCATGTGGATCAGGGTGGAAATGTCTGATGTTTTTTGCTGTCGATTCCATAATCTGAAGTCATACTTCCTTTCACCCCCTCACTTACTGGGGTCATTTATGACATCATGAGAGGCCATCTCCAAGACAACAGCAATGAATTCCGAACAGAGTTATTGACAGTAGCGCAAGTACCTCACTTGCCATTGAATCTCACACATGACTTGTCACACAGACTTTGAAGTTTTACTTCAAATATTAGGATACCAACTCTAAAGGTCCCACAAGATTAATCTGACCCTTCTCCCATCACTAGCAGCTGCTTAACCTCTGTGTACATTTGTTGTTCTTCTTGTTATGGGTGAAGCTGATTTCCAGTGTTTGTATTTTGAAGGTTAATTTGTTGTTGATGTTGTTGCTGCTTTTCTGATCTTCGCTGCAATAAAAATAAACCCATATCTAAAATTAATCTATTAGCTATTTGTTCACAGGAACACACACTTACCCTGCCCGTTTTGATTACGTAGATAAATGATACAGGAAAAAAACACGCGTCATCCGGAAAAGTGATGTATCACAACATAAGATGAAAATAAAACAAAACAACCCAAGAGAGGAGAAAGGTTAAGTGGCAGTGTGAAGGGCTAGTTATCCTTTATGTGTGGATACGAGCAGTTCATAAGCACTAATGAGTTAAGACACTATTATATTACGTAAGCTCTAATCAGGTAGTGTACGTCCAGCTCTGTGGGCCAGAATGATGTCATGCCATCTGTGTGGAATCGTGATCTGTGATGTAGCATCATGCAAACTGTGCTCCCGCGAAAGAGATGAAATATTGATAGCTGCCATAGGGAGTTCATAGAAGAAGCAGTCAAACAATTCAACCTTAACACTGGCCTGTCTGCTGCTGTCATATAGAGAGAAGGTTAGAGTCAAAGGAAAGAAACACAGCTGGTACTTTATGGTATCATTACCACAAATCCCACAAAACAAATTTGGTTTGTTTAATTGTTTTTTGTGGGCTCTATTAAACATGATGTTAGATAAACTATTTTCTAAAAATGAAACATGAAGCAAGTATAGTAGCTAGTTTTAAAAGAATAAAATGTCTGTATCCCCCCTTAAAATGGTCATTTTGGTCTTGCTCACCTCAGATGTCTTCCCATCCTTCTCAATTCAACAATTAAAATCTAACATTAATGTCATAATTTTGCTCTAATCTGTTGAATTGATATATAATTGTATTTTTTAAGTATCATTATCTAAATAAGTTTAATTGTTAATACCTAATATTCAAAAAATGTTATGCATAACCTTGTAATAATTAAACATGATGGGAAAAAAAATCTCTTTCCATTTTCTTCATTTTATTTTTTTGACTGCATTCATCAAACTTGAGCATTCAACCCTGATACCTAAGTTATTGCAAGACATTATTTTTAATTTAAAATTTAATTAAATTTATTATATAAAATATTTTATTTAAGTTGATCTATAACTACACACCCAAAGTAGCTAGCTCTTACTAAGTGATATATTAATTTAGACTACATTTTTAATTATAATATATTTATATAATATATTTATATACACTCACCTAAAGGATTATTAGGAACACCTGTTCAATTTCTCATTTATGCAATTATCTAATCAACCAATCACATGGCAGTTGCTTCAATGCATTTAGGGGTGTGGTCCTGGTCAAGACAATCTCCTGAACTCCAAACTGAATGTCAGAATGGGAAAGAAAGGTGATTTAAGCAATTTTGAGCGTGGCATGGTTGTTGGTGCCAGACGGGCCGGTCTGAGTATTTCACAATCTGCTCAGTTACTGGGATTTACACGCACAACCATTTCTAGGGTTTACAAAGAATGGTGTGAAAAGGGAAAAACATCCAGTATGCGGCAGTCCTGTGGGCGAAAATGCCTTGTTGATGCTAGAGGTCAGAGGAGAATGGGCCGACTGATTCAAGCTGATAGAAGAGCAACTTTGACTGAAATAACCACTCGTTACAACCGAGGTATGCAGCAAAGCATTTGTGAAGCCACAACACGCACATCCTTGAGGCGGATGGGCTACAACAGCAGAAGACCCAAACGGGTACCACTCATCTCCACTACAAATAGGAAAAAGAGGCTACAATTTGCAAGAGCTCACCAAAATTGGACAGTTGAAGACTGGAAAAATGTTGCCTGGTCTGATGAGTCTCGATTTCTGTTGAGACATTCAGATGGTAGAGTCAGAATTTGGCGTAAACAGAATGAGAACATGGATCCATCATGCCTTGTTACCACTGTGCAGGCTGGTGGTGGTGGTGTAATGGTGTGGGGGATGTTTTCTTCGCACACTTTAGGCCCCTTAGTGCCAATTGGGCACCGTTTAAATGCCACGGCCTACCTGAGCATTGTGTCTGACCATGTCCATCCCTTTATGGCCACCATGTACCCATTCTCTGATGGCTACTTCCAGCAGGATAATGCACCATGTCACAAAGCTTGAATCATTTCAAATTGGTTTCTTGAACATGACAATGAGTTCACTGTACTAAAACAGATCTCAACCCAATAGAGCATCTTTGGGATGTGGTGGAACGGGAGCTTCGAGCCCTGGATGTGCATCCCACAAATCTCCATCAACTGCAAGATGCTATCCTATCAATATGGGCCAACATTTCTAAAGAATGCTTTCAGCACCTTGTTGAATCAATGCCACGTAGAATTAAGGCAGTTCTGAAGGCGAAAGGGGGTCAAACACAGTATTAGTATGGTGTTCCTAATAATCCTTTAGGTGAGTGTATATATATAGTTAATATAATATTTTTAATGTAATTCTTTAATAATTCTTATTTTATGTTTTTTTTTTATATTTGTTTGGAGATGTGGCAAAAATAGCATGCCTCATATAAAATTAATGGAAAATGAAATTAATCATATTAAGTTTGACCACCTGAGGTTGATGATCAACATTTTCTAAGGGTTACGCACTTCCTTTCACTGGCCATTTGTTGAATTTTTTTTTTTTTTTTTAACGACTTCACGTCAGAGTTTTAGGACCTGTTTTGTTCTGCATTCGTAGAAAGTGTGAAAAAGACAAAGATTGGTCTTACAAAGCAAGAAGTGATTACTGAACAGCATCAGTTCATTCACTATAATGCCTCATTAGTTCATTCACTATAAAGCCCCTTGGTGTAAGCATGTGAAAGGCTTCATAAAATATTTCTGTAACTTTTTTTTCAAATTATTGACAGTGTTTTGTTTGTTTCTGCAGTGAGGCACAGTCAACCATTGTTCTGCTGAGCACATTGAGCACATTTAAGGGAGAGGAGACGTGGAAGAGAAGAGAGAGAGAGTGAGAGAGAGAGAGAGAGGGTGGCCTTGATGGCAGAGAGCTGGATGTCCCAGTGAGGTCAGGTCGGACGGGAGGTCATGGGGTCGTTTACGCTGGGGAAGGCTGCTTCCCTGGAGCTACTGCTGGACGCCTGCATTCATGCGTTTGGTGAGTGAACACTAAAATAGCAAAACTATAATTTTGTCCATTATTTGTCCACATTCTATCTGTTACTGCATCAAGATTTGCTCTGTTGCTAGATCTTACTTTTATTCAAATTTATGATTCTATTAATCACCATAATTCACCACTGTTATAGGTCACAGCTGATCATGCCATTATGGGTTACTTTGATTGTGTATGATTATTGACCTCTGTTTGCTTAATCACAGACAGTTGCTGATTACTATACATAAAATTAATGAACATATTAATGACTCAAATAGATCATTGTCATAGTTATTTTTCCTTATTAACTGCCATCACTCCTCATATTATTAATTACTGCTTACCTAATTCTTGTTATTAATCTGTGTCATTGATTTTTTACTGATACCTTTAATTAGATATTTATATCAAAATTTTCTCATATTTATATATCATACTGTATCTGGTATCATATCTGTTTTTGAGCTGCTATTCCTAAATCTGCTATATTCAAATGTGTTCCTCTCTTTCTTTATTACTCACATTCTATTTTTTCTTATGTATTATATTATATATATATATATATATTTTTTTTTTTTAAATGATTATATCTATATTCCTTATAATATTTATCCCTCTTTCTGTTGCTGTCTCTCTCTGTTATAGATGATGAAGGAGAGCTGCATGAAAATCAGCTTCCTCGAACCCTTCTGCTGATGCATCGCTGGTATGTGTCCTCCACTGAGCTCGCTGGGAAACTTCTGATTATATATCCCGTGGCAGACCAGTATGAGCGTGTGTGGTGTTTCAGTAGATATCTGTTTTTGTGAGTGTGTGCTGTTAGATCTCTCTGTAGATATCAAGAGGCATCTCTAAGGAAATGACGCCAGTCCAAGCTTTTCTTAGTCATAATTTCAATTAGTTAAAAAACCCAAGAAACCTCTTTTTGTGAAATATTTTACGTGGAAGTGTGCTTTCAGCTATCTTTCTTATAAATAAATGACACTTGAATGAATGTTATTGTAATGCAATGCCATTAATTCCTTGCAAAGCTGTATAGCTCTGTGTGCATACTGTATGTGCATATACGTCCATCCATTTTCCAGCATGTTTAATTCTCCTTGACTCTCTATCACGTATCGTGACTGTCGGGGAGATGACTGCCAGCGGACACGACTGAAGATCTGTTATTTAATGAGGTAAATAAAAACAGCTTCCGTTTAACAAGATAAACAGCCCCTTTATTCCCCATGAGTTTCCTCTTCGGAACGATTTAAGGTGTTTATTTGCATTGCTAAGCAACAACCCCGCGGCAGCATGTTGTGAAGAGGCTATTATTTAGTGTATTCGTTTTTTTTATTCCCCTTCTGTTCTTCCTCTTTTTCTCCGGAGGCTGCGTGACTGTCGCCTGCGCTCAGCATGAAGAGTGATGATGTCACAAGGACAGGCATCGCTCCTAAAGATGGACGTTTGTCCACAGTGGACATTTTGTGTTTTAGCGCAGAGCAAAGAATGAATCAGCGTTTCATCCATCCATTGTTCACAGAGCACATCTCCTCAGGCCACCTTTCTTTTCCTCTCTATTCACATCTGCCTGCCTGTTTTCAGATCTATCGCTCTGCCTTTCACCAAAACCAGGATTTGTTTTGAGAATAGACAATGTATCAACTGGGAATCAAAATTTTATTAATTTCTGGGAATAAACTAGGTTTTTAAACAGGTTTTATCATTTTGAAAACTTTTAGACAAATAAATGTAAAATGAATAAGGATATTTAAAGGAGAACTCCGGCGCAAAATGAACCTCGGGTGTAATAACACATTGGTACAGACTAAATCGTTCCCTGAGATTTGTTTTCATGATAATCGAATATAAAGAGTTTTATCTCTAAAAACAGTTTAGTTTATAACGCTAGTATATTGGGCATCGAGTGAGCAAAAAGAGATCGCTAGTTAATACCATTAACAAGGCTCAAATTAGCCCCACACTAACACGGCAGCATAATGAGTGTCCTTAAATGCAAACCGAAGCATTGAGAACTTTGTAAGTATAGACAGTTTAATAAGAAGATACTTTACACAGACAGTACAGTTAGCGCATACAGACAGGAGCCATCTTGGAAAACAGTCTCGATCAATCGAACCACGAAGGTGAGCGAACAGTACGTGTAGATATTGAAGATAACTTAGATAAGATAAATTATATTTATTTTTTTATTTTCTCTGTTGCGTTCAGTGCTTCTCTTATGCGCTCAGTGCTTTCTTCCGGAAACAACGGACCATATGAGATTCCAAGTCACAGTTCAGCTCACGTATCACCGTGTTCGTGGTTTGACTGATTGAGACTGTTTTCCAAGATGGCTCCCGTCTGTATGCGCTAACTGTACTGTCTGTGTAAAGTATCTTCTTATTAAACTGTCTATACACTTACAAAGTTCTCAATGCTTCGGTTTGCATGTAAGGACACTCATTATGCTGCCATGTTAGTGTGGGGCTAATTTGAGCCTTGTTAATGGTATTAACTAGCGATCTCTTTTTGCTTACTCGATGCCCAATATACTAGCGTTATAAGCTAAACTGTTTTTAGAGATAAAACTCTTTACATTCGATTATCATGAAAACAAATCTCAGGGAACGATTTAGTCTGTACCAATGTGTTATTACACCCGAGGTTCATTTTGCACCGGAGTTCTCCTTTAAGATTTTTGCACTATTTCTAGGTCACTAGTAAATTGCATTGACCATGTGCACAAAATTTTCTCTGGGTCATGCTGGAGAACATGATCATCGAGATGTACTCAAACTTGTGTAGTTTATGCAGCTTGTCGTTAAAGCAAAAACAGAAAAAAAGAAATACCAAGACAATTCGAAATGCATGTTAATTTATGAGTTCGACTTTCAAATAGTTATATTAATATACAGGTCCTTCTCAAAAAATTAGCATATTGTGATAAAGTTCATTATTTTCCATAATGTAATGATAAAAATTAAACTTTCATATATTTTAGATTCATTGCACACCAACTGAAATATTTCAGGTCTTTTATTGTTTTAATACTGATGATTTTGGCATACAGCTCATGAAAACCCAAAATTCCTGTCTCAAAAAATTTGCATATCATGAAAAGGGTCTCTAAACGAGCTATTAACCTAATCATCTGAATCAACTAATTAACTCTAAACACCTGCAAAAGATTCCTGAGGCTTTTAAAAACCGCAATCATGGGTAAGACTGCCGACCTGACTGCTGTCCAGAAGGCCATCATTGACACCCTCAAGCAAGAGGGTAAGACACAGAAAGAAATTTCTGAACAAATAGGCTGTTCCCAGAGTGCTGTATCAAGGCACCTCAGTGGGAAGTCTGTGGGAAGGAAAAAGTGTGGCAAAAAACGCTGCGCAACGAGAAGAGGTGACCGGACCCTGAGGAAGATTGTGGAGAAGGACCGATTCTAGACCTTGGGGGACCTGCGGAAGCAGTGGACTGAGTCTGGAGTAGAAACATCCAGAGCCACCGTGCACAGGCGTGTGCAGGAAATGGGCTACAGGTGCCGCATTCCCCAGGTCAAGCCACTTTTGAACCAGAAACAGCGGCAGAAGCGCCTGACCTGGGCTACAAAGAAGCAGCACTGGACTGTTGCTCAGTTTTGCATGTCATTCGGAAATCAAGGTGCCAAAATGCCTGAAGTCCAGTGTCAAGTACCCACAGTCAGTGATGGTCTTGGGTGCCATGTCAGCTGCTGGTGTTGGTCCACTGTGTTTTATCAAGGGCAGGGTCAATGCAGCTAGCTATCACGAGATTTTGGAGCACTTCATGCTTTCATCTGCTGAAAAGCTTTATGGAGATGAAGATTTCATTTTTCAGCACGACCTGGCACCTGCTCACAGTGCCAAAACCACTGGTAAATGGTTTACTGACCATGGTATTACTATGCTCAATTGACCTGCCAGCTCTCCTGACCTGAACCCCATAGAGAATCTGTGGGATATTGTGAAGAGCAAGTTGAGAGACGCAAGACCCAACACTCTGGATAAGCTTAAGGCCGCTATCGAAGCATCCTGGGCCTCCATAACACCTCAGCAGTGCCACAGGCTGATTGCCTCCATGCCACGCCGCATTGAAGCAATCATTTCTGCAAAAGGATTCCCGACCAAGTATTGACTATTGAGTGCATAACTGAACATAATTATTTGAAGGTTGACTTTTTTTTTGTATTAAAAACACTTCTTTTATTGGTCGGATGAAATATGCTAATTTTTTGAGACATGAATTTTGGGTTTTCATGAGCTGTATGCCAAAATCATCAGTATTAAAACAATAAAAGACCTGAAATATTTCAGTTGGTGTGCAATGAATCTAAAATATATGAAAGTTTAATTTTTATCATTACATTATGGAAAATAATTAACTTTATCACAATATGCTAATTTTTTTCGAAGGACCTGTATAATACATACCGAGTTCTGGCTTGAAACTCTAGATGGCGCAGGGCTGATAGGTCCTTAAACCTTGTGCGTCAAATAAAAAAAGTTACACATGAACATTATTTTTTTATCAAATATATTTTATGAAACATGAACCTTAAAACTGCTAGAAAATCAAAACCATGGATCTAAACAAGTTGTGTTCCAAATTTGATGTTGATATCTCCAAAAATGAGCTTTTAGTAAGATTATGTTTGGACGAAGTACCAAATTTTCCCCATTAGATGCCAGCAAAGCTCCACTGGTGCACACTGTTTGGATTTGTGAATTGGAGTTTTTCTCTCTCAGATATTACACACACACACACACACACACACACAATTTTTATCACACACATACAAACCACACTCTGTCATCCATATCAACACACCCACACAATTATAGCTGCATAATTTATCCAAGTGGCTCTATAATATGCAGAAGCAGAAAACAGGAATAAAGCGAGCATTTCCTTTATAGACCAAACCTGAGAAAATGGCACCATTTGGTAAAAGATTTAAAAAATGTTAATTTTAAAGCCTTGCCAACTAAATGAAAGCCTATTAACAAAGACTGTATCATTTTATAGTTAAATGGCCCTCGTATTAAAAATAGCAGTTTTCAAATGGGTTTCATTGGGGACATTTTAGTCCTTAAAGGGGTGGTATAATGCCCTTTTCACAAGATGTAAAATAAATCTCTGATGTCCCCAGAGTGTGTATGTGAAGTTTTAGCTCGAAATACCCCACAGATATTTTTATATAGCATGTTAAAGTTGTCACTTTTTGAGGGTTAGCAAAAACGCACAGTTTTGTGTCTGGCCCTTTAAATGCAAATGAGCTGCTGCGCCCGACAGTGGGCGGAGTTTCAAGACCTAGTGTGTGTTAGCACCGCTCACAGACACACGCTAAAATGTCAGAGACTTTTCTGCCTTTTATGTTTAAACCGGTCAGACAAAGATGGAGAGACTAAGAAGTGACAACACGTAGAATGCAACAGGACGTCTCTGAATGGTTAGTTGATGAATTTATGTTGCTGATGTGGAGTTAACTATCTTCAATTAGGATATTCTGTCAGGATAATCTATAAATCGCTCGTATAGGAACTGTTGTGAGATGCACACAGAGTGACTTTCTATTACTCACAAATGTGCTCGACTACAACAGCTCTTCCTCTTCTCAAAATGGACTGCCGGGGCTGGGTTTATGTAAAGTTTAGGGTTAGTGATGTCACTAACCCGGGAGGAAGCTCATGTAGTTCCTACCAGCCGTTTGTTGTAGTCCTTAAAAAACGATTTCTTTAAAAGCAAATATCTCCCTTTGCTTTGAACTTTGAGCGTTGTAACTTTGCAGATGTTGTTTATGCTCAAACAGCAACATTACATACTAACTAAAGTTAGAAAAGTGAAATCATAATCAACCACCCCTTTAAGGCCCGAGTGTAATTTTGTGTTACTAGTGTAAAATAGATGTATTAAAGGAAATGGGGGTGAAATTGTACAATTCCTATAAAAATACACACTTGATCATTTTTTAAATAAAAAAACAATGAAAAAGACAAAAATGTCCATAAGGATGAACAGGGGTTACTTCATTTGGTAGCAATTGAATCGTCATCTACATAGCGAGGCTGATTGGTTGCTGTTGCATTAGCGACCAATAAGCTGCAGCTCAGCACTCAAATACCGGTAGTGTTGCTGTTAGCAGACTTCACCACACATTCAGAAACCCTCCACCTTCCCAAGCTCCACCTGTATAGATCTGCGACGGGGGTTATTTCATGTATGTTACAGTTGTGGTCAGAATTATGGTGAATATAACCTTTCATTGAAGTAAAATAATTGAAAGTGGGGGGAAAATCACATTATGAAATAAACGTTTTTCTCCATAACACGTTGGCCACAATTATTGGCACCCCTAGAGTTTTTTTGTTTAGAGTTAAGAGTTAAATATCTCTGAAGTATATTCCCATAATGGCATGATCACCAGGGTGACTAGGAACACGAAATTGTCATGAAAAGCATTTATTTCACTTTCAATTCTTTTTTTTTAATGAAAGGTTAGATCTTTATGATGAATATTTTGAATGAAAGATCAAAAGGATAAGCAATGCAGATTTTTTTTTGCAGCCATCTTTGATCATATTTACCAGGGGTGCCAATAATTCAATAATTCCAAATGTGAATGTTTTATAGCAAGTCTTGATTCTTGCTCTGCAGCAGCAGCGTAGCAGATCTATTCCGCCAAGCCCAAATACATTAACATTGCCATATCCATTACCATTAACATGCCAATCTCTCTGAGAGTTGTGATGACAGAAATAATATAATGAGCTATTTAAATCATTGTATTAAATTGTATTAAAATGTGAAACATACAGTTTTTCTCTGATTTGGTGTGAGACGCAAAAGTAAAAATAAACCGTTTGCTCTCTTTCCAATGCGCATGCACTTGTAGTTTGTGTAACCTATCCGTTATCAGTGTAAATATTGAGGTGTTGCGTAAAAGTTGAATGCCTTATGACCATCTGACCCCTGCTCTCATTGGTCTCACAAATATGCACTGATACACAATACAAAGACCCTTGAGTTGTTACCTCCTAACTGCATGATGTCACTCTGACTCATGCTGGGCACACATTCCAGCTGATGTTTATGTCTTAAAAAAAAAAAAAGCAAGAAAAGGAATGTGTTTTCATGTCTCAGTGCCCTTAGTGAGTCCGGCAGTCAAAAACATCTACATAATTAATGATAAACGGCATGCATCTGACATAAATACGCTTCATCCGTTCCTTTCCCTGGGGACTCGGTGAGAGTCACCAAAACAAAAACATCACAAAATGAAGGAGGTCAGTGTTTTGTAAAACTGCATCCTGTTGGGGGGAAAAGTAACCTTACTTCATTTTAAAAGTAGTCTTGATATTCACTGGATTTTTCCAATCGGCCTGGAGTTGTTGCTGCGTTTCAGGAGATCTGCTGGAAATCATCTACTTCCCCACATAAACAAGACCTGTGCATATGAAGCTATGGGACAATTGTGCATAAATGGGCAAGTTTGGTAGAATTTTTAAAATATAAAAAATAACATGTGCCATGGTGCACTACTGATTATTTTATGTTTTGAAAGACATATCTTATGCTCACAAAGTCTGCATTTCTTTGATCAGTAAATGTAATTTATTCCTGTGATGGCAAAGCTGAAATTTCAGCATCATCACTACAGTCTTCAGTGTCACATGATCCTTCAGAAGTCATTCTAATAGTAGGCTGATTTGGTGCTCAATATACATTAGTTTTATGTTGTTTAATGTTTTGGGCATGTACACAATCTGTCGATTTTGCCCTAATTTGCCAAAATATTGTAGCACATTGGATGCACCGCCTTTAAAGGCATAGTTCACTCAAAAATAAAAGATTATCATTGCTTACTCACCCTCAAGTTGTTTATGGAAGTCAATGGGTGCCGTCAACTGTCTGGTTACCAACATTCTTCAAAATATCTTCTTTTGTGTTCAACAGAAGAAAGAAATTCATACAGATTTGGAACAACATGAGGGTGAGTAAATGATGACAATATTTAAATTTTTGGGTGAACTATCCCTTTAAATTCAACAACAAAAGAGGGGAAAAACAGGAAGCATTTTTCTCCTCCCATTTAAAGGTCATTTTGTAAAATATCCTAACTGTGTAGGAATATAAAGTTAGTTGTTTTTATTATTATTATTATTATTGTATGCATTTAGTGTTGTTTTTTTCTTTGTTGTCAGAAACCTAGGATAGACCTGGATTGCATTTTTTGATTCACAACATACCAATTGAGAACCACAGCTTTAAAATACAATGAAGTGCCATCTAAACACAATGTTACTGCAAATAAATATGGTAATCCTTGCATCAAAAGTACCATCTTATGCCACCACTGTGCCATGGTGCCACCTCAGTACTTCTTTGTAAGGGTAAGAGATGAGTTTAATTAACACAGACCAACAAAACAAAGGTTTGCAGAGTTGTGAGCTGTTTCAATGTTTTGCGTTGGTCCAGACAAACTGTGCTTCAAGGTCACGTTTCCCCACAAGTAAGCATGGTGATAATGTGTTTGAACATTTTCTCAAGCCTGCAGTTTCAGATGTTACCTGACAACAAACAGAATTAAACATGGCAGCTAGAACAGCACTGATACAGTAGGAGCTATTGGTTTAAAACTGATTTACGATATAACAAGCAATACATCAATCTGCAGTTACAACATGCAGGTTGCCTTTAAAAAAAATATTTATTCATTTTTCTGAAATGACAACAAAATCAAGTGGAGTAGAAAGAAATATATAAAAACATTGTTTTAAAGGAGAACCATTTGTACACTTTGATAAACACTATGGGTTTAGCCACTGCAATGTAATTTACAGTTTTCAAACCTGTGTGTAGGTACTGGATAGCTGAATTCCCTGCAGAGTTTGATCTGGATCTAGGTTTGATCCGTCTTACAGAAGAATTTCGAGATGCAGCCGCTCAGCTGGGTGGAGACGAGCACATTAAACTACTTGACATTTCTACAATGTGAGTTGTCGTTGCAACACACAAACACTCACAGGATGCCGATCATTGACTGTATCATTACTATTGACCTATTTGGCTTTAATCATGACTACCGGTTTGATTGAAATGAAAATGCATTGCTATAAATTCAAATGTTGCCCTTTTAATAATAACTTGTGAACTAATGAGCATGTGTTTTAATCACTGATTCATATTATGTGGAAATGATTGCATAGAGCATTACGCACTTGTCCTTTGTCACTAATTAACACTAAATGGCACCTTAAATTTCGTAATAATTCATTCGATTATTGAATGATTTTCTTCTGTGATTATGACAGGTGTCTTGTCGTATCAGGGTAATGAGCGTAAACACATTCTTTAGTTTGTAGCCTACAGTGTGACTTTACATAGAAGATGTTCCATTTTCTTAATATTACATTCAATTAACATTAGTAATGTTATTTTTAGAGAATATTATATAATAATCCGTAAATAAAACAGATTTAAACAGACAATTTTATGGTGAAATGTCACTATAAATTAACATAAAACAGTGAAAACATGTTTGTCCCGTCAGCCCCTCGTATGACTGGATGCGTAAACTGACTCAGCGAAAGAAGCAGGTGAAGAAGGGCAAAGCGTCACTGCTGTTTGATCACCTGGAACCCATTGAGTTGGCCGAACACCTCACCTTCTTAGAGTACAAGTCCATCAGGAGGATATCGGTTAGTGTGCACAGTGGAAATGGAAAAATAGAGTGTTTCTTTCACCTGGGAAAGCCGGCAGCTGTAGAGGACTTACGTCAGTGAAGATAATGCGTGTGTGTGTTTGTTTTTGTGATATAGAAAGAAAAAGACTATGCATATGAGAACACACTTTAGTTCTCTTATCAGCTCTGCTGATTTCTTTCCATCGCCCTGCATTGCTATTCTTAGCAGCTAACACTCAAGTATTTTTTTTAGTTAACTAGCAAACATCCTTCCTTTATCCATTGCTCCCTTCTAAATCAGTGTTAATCTTTAGAAAAATAATGTGATAGAAGCTCTTAAAAGCCATCGCATATAAATCAAAAGTAGTTTGTTCTCATTGTGTCTGCCAGTCTTACATTAACAGTTCGCAACATGAGCTTGAATCAGCCAATTGTTTATTTAAATTAACCAAACAATTCACTAGAATGAATTTGACTTTCTGAAGCTATATACTGCATGTGAGAGTGGACCATTTAAGGTGAACCAATTCACTAGAATGAATCAGTAAATCATATTTTTATTTATCTATTTTTACAGTAACCATCCAATCAAATGAATTGGACTTTCCAACGTGACATTCGAGACAGAGACTGGACTATTAAAGACGAATCAATTCTCTAAAATAATTTTAACTTTCCAACTGATGACTGTTTAGGATGAACAGATTCACTAGAAAGAATCCAACACTACATTGGACTGACCATTTAATTAAACATATTTATACTCATCGATAATATCGTAAGGTCACGCTGTACCTTTACTAGTTGCAAAAAGTAACTTGTTACTGGAAAAGTTGTGCTTTGAAAATAGCTGAACTGCTTTCATGTGACATACTGAAAACATGAACTGTTAGTTCAAGTTAGTTACTTTTTTTTAAAGTTATGAATATGTCTTAATATGTGTATGTCCTCAGTTCACAGATTACCAGAGTTACGTGATTCATGGCTGTCTAGTAGATAACCCCACATTAGAGCGCTCCATCGCTCTGTTTAATGGGATCTCTCAGTGGGTTCAGCTGATGGTTCTCAGTAAACTCACCCCTCAGCACAGAGCAGAGGTCATCAACAAATACATCCATGTCGCACAGGTAAGAACATACATTTAAATTTATGTCTGACAAAGATTTAAGTAATACAAATTAGTAATTGAAGCAGATCAGAGATTATCTAACCTATTATCTGTATTTATGAAAGTTTATTAACTTGTCTAAAAAGGATTGCATTGTTCCTAAAGTAATATATAATAACACCAGAGCAAGAAATACATTAAACGTATGAAAGTAAATCAAAGTAAAGGAAATGCAACTAAATGTAACATAATGTAAGGTGATGAAGCTCATGAAATGATTGAATAACTCATGAGAATAAATGCATCCTGGGTAACACACTGATGTGAGACGCTGTCTGTATGTTGATTTACGCAAATGCGAGACCCTTCACCCAGCAAACTAGTTTCTGTCAGTGCATTCTGAAAGCAGCTAGATGACATTTCCAGGCCCTTTGATATGTTAATGTCTGCCAGCGAAAGAGTGCGGAGCCGCCTGCCTGCTCTCACGCCGCCGGGGGTGTATGAAACGCCTCTATTGTGAAGAGCACCCAGGCATCCCTTCAGTACAAAGCCTGTGCTTTTAGTATCTGTTTTAAGGCCTGCTGGGCATGATCTGTGTCAGCTAATAGATGTTAAGTGTCGAGCTGTCGAGTTGCTGGAGCTTCAGTAATAAAGGAGCGCTGTGCTTTTATGAGATCAGCGAGCACTTGTGCAATTATGCTGTAAATGAAAAATCATAGATCATATGTGAACTAATGGATCAAATCTATCTGTCTATCTATCTATCTATCTGTCTGTCTGTCTGTCTGACGATCTGACAATCTGTCTGTCTCTTTTTGTCTCTTCCAGAAACTGCTCCACCTGCAGAACTTTAACACACTGATGGCTGTGGTCGGGGGTCTGAGTCACAGCTCTATTTCCCGCTTGAAGGAAACTCATTCTCACCTCAGCCCAGAGGTCACCAAGGTGCAACATTCACTGCAAAAACAGCTGTTTAGTTTCTCTAAGAATTATAAAGAAACTATTCACTCCCTTTTCCGTAAAGTCAAGTTGTCATTGAAGACCAACTCCCACTGCTGAGGGAGTTGATGTCACGTTACCTTTGGAAAATATTTTAGACATAATCATACGAGAAATACAAGAAAAGTATTTCTAAAATGGCCCAGAGAAGTGAAGCTGGTTGTAAGAAAATGTTTTGTTATAAATATATTTTAGGTGTAATTTAAGTGTCTAAATAGCATTTCAGGTGCTAGTATATGAGAAATGCACTAAAAAAAACTAAAACAAATGGTCAGACATGGGATATCTAGATTAGAACGTATAACAGAAAAGGTTAAAGATTAATTTCAGGAACTGTCATTTTCTCTTGATATTGACAGATCTGGAATGAAATGACAGAGCTGGTTTCGTCAAACAGTAATTACTGTGCTTACCGCAAAGCCTTCAGTGAAAGCGAAGGGTTTAAGATCCCGATCCTAGGCGTTCATTTGAAGGACCTGATCGCCGTGCACGTGGTCTTCCCGGACTGGGTGGAGGATGGGAAAGTGAACATCGTGAAGATGCAGCAGCTGTATCTCACCTTTAATGAGCTGGTGTCCCTGCAGAGTGCTGTGGCTCAGGTGGAGCCCAACATGGACCTGATCTACCTGCTCACTGTGAGTTCAGCTTACACATCTGTTGGTCGTAAATCTGCATACACAGTTAAAGTCAGACAGCAGCACTGAATTACAGTGGTTTTATCCTCTAGGGAAATTAGTGGTTATAATTTAATTTTATGTCTGTTTGTGTAAAGCTGTCCTTGGATCTGTACTACACAGAGGATGAAATTTATGAGCTGTCCTTGCTCAGAGAACCCCGTAACCCCAAATCTCAGGTAAGATGGCTGTACGGCCCAATGAACCTACTGTTCAAAAGAAATTAATATTTTTATTCAGGATGCATTCAATTGATCAAAAGTGACAAAGAAATGTACAAAAGATTTGTATTTAGAAATAAATGTTTTTTTCCCCCCACAAAAAAATATTGAGCAACACAACTGTTTGCAACATTCAGTAATATTAAAAGAAATGTTTCTTGAGCACCAAATTGGCATATTAGAATGATTTCTGAAGGATCAGGAAGGAAGACTGCAGTAATGATGCTGAAAATTCAGCTTTGCCATTACAGGAATAAATTACATTTTAAAATATTCAAATAGTTCAAAATATTATTAATTATTTGATCAAATAAATGCAGCCTTGATGATCATACGATTTTTTTAAGCAGTAAAAACCCAAACATTCAACATGTTTGGGTCATTTAAGTGAAACATTTTACAAGATTTATCTTCCACTGAAACCCATTTGATATTGTGGTCACAAAATATTGACTGGTTTCCTCTTCTCTCGAAGAGTTTTAGCTGGAAAGGGTTTCTTTTGTAAAAAAATGAGCACAGACCATAATCGATTTTATAACATCCATGTTTTTCTGCAGCCAACATCTCCAACAACACCCAACAAACCTCTGGCTCCACTGGATTGGGCCTCTGGGGTCACAACCAAACCAGATCCTTCAGTGGTCAACAAACACATCAGGAAGGTCGTGGATGTAAGATATTGTCAACAACAATACTCACAGATATTAAATTATGATATAGTATTAAAGAAAATAAAACCTTTTCATGTCCTATATAAATCCAAATTATTTTCATAATTTTTCAAATGTACAAATGCCACAGATTGTTTTCTAGTTCCGTAAAACCTGGTCAGGCTTTGAATATAAGGGGCTTATTATGTCAAGCATATTTCAGTGACTCCTAACTTCCTGAATGATTTATTTAGATAAATCGGGTTATATGGTAGATTATGTCAATGCACATTTTTATGCCACATGCAAAGAATAAGATAATTTAACAGAAGATGTATGTATGTATTTAGCTTTTGCTCATTGCATCCAGGTCACTAAACTTGTGTATTCCTGTTTTGTTTTTTGTTGTTTTTTTGCATTTAAAGTCTGTCTTTCGAAACTATGACCACGACCATGACGGATATATATCTCAGGAAGACTTTGAGAGTATCGCAGCAAATTTCCCTTTCCTCGATTCCTTCTGCGTGCTTGATAAAGACCAGTAAGTAGGAAACGCACACACATGAAATGTGTGATTCTTGTAACAAACCCCTGCAGTGCCAAACTGCTAATAGCGTTTCTTGACGAGAGCTGCTCATAGTCTGTGTCAATGATCCTTTATAAGCCTGGGCAGAGATTCAGTGATATTGGAGGAGACACATTTTCAGTACATCGTCTCCATTCTGACAGGGTCAATGTAATGTGTCTGGAAATTCCTTAAAGGGTTCTTCTCAACCGTGCTAAATTCGTAAGTATGTTTTATCGCTGCAAATGAAGCAGAGCATGATGCGCAGACTACACAACACCATGATGTAATATTTAAACAACAATTATACATTTTTAAAGAGCACTAAAGTGCAGTGTTTTTGTGAATTTTTGGAAAAACAGCGTATTTTTCAGCCTGATACTTTCTGTATCATTGGATAAAGGCATATAGCATTTAAAATGTTTATGTATTTATTTTTAATGATCAGAGGTTAGAAAATGCAGCATGTGTAGTCACTTCAGGACATGCTGCTGCTCAGTGTGGGTTACCTGCTGCACTGTTAAAAGGCTGAAGGTCATGCCTCCCAGCGAAGGACGCACAGCATCAGGCACGCAAAGACTCTCACACACACTCAGAAATTCCCCAGGCGTCCTCTGTGGTTCATCTTAGCAGCACAGCGCTCAAACCGCATTACTGGCGCGTGACTGCATGCATTTCTCCTGAGCTCCTGCACTCACGCTGGTTCTATTTCGATACTGTACCTGTTGTGACACAGGAAGAGCACTAGCAAAGGAAGAGTTGTGTTGACTGCTTTATGAGCTGCATGGAGGAAATCATGATTATCCCTTTCTGTTTTTGTCCAGGGATGGATTGATCAGTAAGGATGAGATGATGGCGTATTTCCTGCGTGCCAACCCGCTGCTGCAGTGTAAGATGGGTCCTGGGTTTATTCACAACTTCCAGGAGATGACCTACCTGAAGCCAACATTCTGTGAACACTGCGCTGGATTTGTAAGAGCTGATTTTATTAGGCTCATTAAGAACAACAAAATGTACTCCTTTCCTTTCACATCAGCACAGTTGATCATGTATTTTGGGAGATTTCTCCTGTGCAACACTTATGCAAAGATACTCTCTGTGACTAAAGTGCAGTAGAAGTTGTCTGAGGTGTTCAGCAGTGTGTGAGTGTGTGCAAACAAATACACCTAGCAGGAGTTTACCACAACATCACTGAATCATGAAGACAGTGTTTAAAGGTTAATTCCAACCTCAACCACAATGTTTAGCTGTTTCTCACTCTCGAGATTTGTATCATTGCAGGCCAAGTGGCTGACTGTAAAAATAAATAAATAATAATAATAATCAAACACTACCGTTCAGAAGTTTGGGGTTAGTAAAATTTTTATTTTATTTTTAAGAAATTAATACTTTTATTCAGCAAGGAAGCATTTCTGATGTTACAAAAGATTTTTTAAAAAAATCTTTTTTTTAATAAATTCTGTTTACTTTCTATTCGTCAAAGAATCCTGAAAAATGTATCTTGGTTTCCACAAAAATATTCTGTCATTAATTACTCACTCTCATGTCGTTCCAAACCTCTTAGACTTTCGTTCATCTTCGGAACACAAATGAAGATCTTTTTAATGAAATCTTTGAGAGCTTTGTCCCTCCATTGACAGCTACACAACTACCACTTTGACACTTCAAAAAGTTTGTAAAGAGATCATAAAACTAATCCATATGAATTGAGCAGTAAACGTCTAAATTCAATCTGTTCGTCATATAAAGCAATCGTGTCTCTTCAGAAAATCTGCACTAAACCGCTCAATTCATTTGGATTGTTTTATCATAATGTGACACTGAAGACTGGAGTAATGATGCTGAAAATTCAGCTTTGCATCTTAGGAATAAATTACATTTAGAATCTATTAAAATAGAAAACACTTATTTTAAATTTTAACATTGTTTCACAATATTACTATTTTTTTTATTTTTTTTATTACAGACTCCAAAATTTTGAACGGTAGTATATTTCCTCCAGAAAGCGGTACATTGGATAATGTTTTTGAATTATGTAACAAAATGGAATTTATTTTTAAAAAATATAGCGCAAACACACAGATATAAAACAACATACACTCACCTAAAGGATATAGGAACACCTGTTGAATTTCTCATTAATGCAATTATCTAATCAACCAATCACATGGCAGTTGCTTCAATGCAATGAAATAAACACGCGTTACAACCGAGGTATGCAGCAAAGCATTTGTGAAGCCACAACACGCACAACCTTGAGGCGGATGGGCTACAACAGCAGAAGACCCCACCGGGTACCACTCATTTCCACTACAAATAGGAAAAAGAGGCTAAAATTTGCAAGAGCTCACCAAAATTGGACAGTTGAAGACTGGAAAAATGTTGCCTGGTCTGATGAGTCTCGATTTCTGTTGAGACATTCAGATGGTAGAGTCAGAATTTGGCGTAAACAGAATGAGAACATGGATCCATCATGCCTTGTTACCACTGTGCAGGCTGGTGGTGGTGTAATGGTGTGGGGGATGTTTTCTTGGCACACTTTGGGCCCCTTAGGGCCAATTGGGCATCGTTTAAATGCCACGGCCTACCTGAGCATTGTTTCTGACCATGTCCATCCCTTTATGGCCACCATGTACCCATCCTCTGATGGCTACTTCCAGCAGAATAATGCACCATGTCACAAAGCTTGAATCATTTCAAATTGGTTTCTTGAACATGACAATGAGTTCACTGCACTAAAATGGCCCCCACAGTCACCAGATCTCAACCCAATAGAGCATCTTTGGGATGTGGTGGAACGGGAGCTTCGAGCCCTGGATGTGCATCCCACAAATCTCCATCAACTGCAAGATGCTATCCTATTAATATGGGCCAACATTTCTAAAGAATGCTTTCAGCACCTTGTTGAATCAATGCCACGTAGAATTAAGGCAGTTCTGAAGGCGAAAGGGGGTCAAACACAGTATTAGTATGGTGTTCCTAATAATCCTTTAGGTGAGTGTATATAGTAATAATATAATGTACAAAAAGAAAAAAATCAGATGACCAAGGTGACAACCAGCCCTACACACACATAAGATTTGTACAAAATTGTGTCTTTCGTAGTAAATGCATCACATTTCCTGTTGGCATAGTGCTGAATATTGTGGGCTGATTAACTTTAGAGTGAGTGTATACACTACAGTGAGTGTTTAGTCATGGTCACTGCTGCTCAGATTGTTCTGTATTTACACAGATGGTTAGACAGGAATCCGCTGAGTTAACACACACATTCTTTTAAACAGACTTTCAGACACACACACACACAAATCCACCTTCTCTCACACTGTATTGCACAGGAAGGGTGCAACGTGTGGAAGTATCCTGTTTATTACACATGGGTCTGTGTACAGAAAACCATGAACTCAAATACAGCATAAACCTGCTGCTTCTGTCCCCAATTCATATTTACTCATATGCTTCTCTCTCTCCGTTTTGTCCTCTTCATTGCCCTTCCTCTTCACCCCGTGGTCCATGTTTTCAGCTCTGGGGAATTATTAAACAAGGATACAAGTGCAAAGGTAAAAATAAATAAATAGAGCAAATTACAATAGATGTTGATGCTTGAACAGGCCACTAATCTTATAAATTCACTAATAGTTTAGTTAGTTGATAGTAGTGGTTTGTTAAATATTCTATAACAAACAGATAGAAACATCTGTCTCATCTATAACATCTATAAATCTGTCCCATGCATGTGTGTACTATTATTTTTCAATAGTTTTTTTGTTGTTGTTCTTATACAGTTCTCATAACACTGTATATATGTAGGTAAATGCACACTTTTGTTCAAATTGAATCTTATTGTTTTCAGACTGTGGAGTGAACTGCCATAAACAGTGTCGTGAGCTGCTGGTTTTGGCGTGCCGACGTCTTCCTCGGTCCACATCGCTGGGCAGTGTGTCTCCTGGAGTGCTTACACACAGCTCTTTACCCAGCAGCCCCAACCTGCCCACCTGCAAAGGTGAAAACACACATGTACAGTACATCTCCATCTGCTTATCTCAGAGTAAAAATTCATAGATGAGGGTGATCTCTCTCTCTCTCTCTCTCTTTCTCTCTCACTCACATACAAAAAACCCCATAATTTTTTATATTGAATTAGTATTTTGCCTCATTTCCATATCGTAATATCTTATCGTCTTATAAACAAGATTTACTTGAGAAGCAAATCTGTGAAAGTGATGATTTTCAACCTGCTTTGTATTGTTACATTATCGGTAGAACAGTATATGTAAATAAACAATGATTACTCGTTCTCCGTGTTACATGGACTGAGATATTTACGTTTATTTGTCAGCAAAACTTTTGACAGCTTCAGGGCTTTTCATGAAAAAGGCTGTTTATTTCAGTTTTTCCTCTCCGTTTGGCCTAAAACACTGTGGGCAAATTCTAAACGGTGTTTTTGAACCCTTGAAGAGCACCTCAGGAAGGGGACGCCATTTGTAGTAGCACAGTTAAAAGCTCCGCTTCCCATATAAACCTGAGACTCGTGCTTCGGACTGCACATGCCCATTGGCTCCTCTAGCCTGAAAAACAAGCTTTTTTTAAACTAATTGGTCATAAGAAACAACATTTATGCGACAGTTTATGTCAGATTTTGTTGCTGATTTGAAATAAGTTATTTAATTGTGAGTTCGGCAAGCAGTTTTGGGGGTTTCAGGATAGATAGGACTTGGTCTTGGATGCCCCAAATAGCTGCCCGGAGGTGTTGCAAATATAGCCGCCGAGTGAACAGACTTTCCTTAAAAGGGACATTTTTTTTTCGCTTTTCTACTGTATAGGCAGCCAAGTTTTATTGAAAGCCTATTTTGCCAGTGGTGAAGTAACCATTGCTTTCAGAGAATACGATTTTTTTTCTAGTTTTAAACATAAATCAAAATTTAAAGGGAAAAACTATTTGCCAGTCGTGTGAGAAAAATCAAGATATATTCTTTGAAATCTAGGTTTTTTTTCCTTACACATTTGTACAATTAAATGTATCTTGTCTTTGGAATGTTTTAATGGTAAACAATACAAAAACATTCTCTTTGCTACCATACTCTTGTCTTGTCATTGAACAGATGATGATGAGGTGTTTACATTCCCTGCTGTGTCGCCATCGTCAAGCTCTGACCTGGAGGGAAAGTCCATCACTCTGATGACCGGTTCAGCCCAGCGCATCTCAGTGCGGCTCCAGAGAGCCACCACCAGTCAGGCCACACAGACAGAACCCCTTTGGCCCGAGAACGGCTGGGCTGCCGTTGCTGACAGCGGGTCACACACCTTTCCCAAAATGAGGTACAGGCCACACCGCAAAGCATCCAAGAGCAAAGGCTTTGCCCGCTGGGAGAATGACACACAGAGTTCGGCAGGGACGAGGAACAGCAGGAACTCACAGGAGCACAGCGAAGAGTCAACGCAGAATGGACTCGCAGAACAACATATCAACAAAACCATGACCTCTGAGGTACGATAAAAAAAAAAAAAAAAAAGCACATTTGAATTAAGTAGAAATTATCCAGTAACGATTTAGAATAGTTAAAAATTCAGGGTGCTGGAAAAACACTTCCCAAAAACATGTTCTATGAGATGACAAAGATGACTCACACTTGTTTGAGCAGGAAGACCTTGTGAATCCCACAAACCACCTTCTTGTTTCACTGCTTTTTAATTCCTTCATCACTTCTTGCTTCTCTCAAGGCCCTGGAACATCTTTAAACTTCGCTCAGCCATTGCCATGGAAACGCCAAGGTTCCGCGGTCTGGCCTCTTCTCACGTCGCTCTAGAGATAATCTTGATCAGAGGCCGCAGGGCCGAGAGCACCTCAACACTCACACTGATGGGCGTACATATGGAGTAGCACTAAGGCTCTAGGCTGTTATTTTAGGATGTGGCAGACACCTTGTTTTGGGTTCAAATGCAGAGCATATGTGTGAACCCGGATTGTGTTGCCGTGTTTGTTAAGTTCAGATATTCTCTGTGTTATTTATAGAACGGGCTTTAAAAAAGCCAGGGTCACTTGACACACAGGGATTAAACCGCTGACGCACCTGTCAGGGTTACAATGCAGAATTAATTTTTTAGGTGAGCAGTTTATGAATACACGTTTTACTATGTTTAGCATGTTGGTTTGGTTTTTAACCTTTTTAGGTAAAAATATAAAACAATAATAATAATAATTGTAGTTTTAAATTATTTGTAATAACTTCTGGCATTTTATGTACCAGATATGGATTTATTTACAATTAAAACTAACAAATAATTTTAGAAAAAAAACATTTTAAAAGGGAAAAAATCTCCTGTGATGTTTTTAAAAGTATGTTTTTAGAGTCTCTTTTACCCACTAAGGCCGCGTGTCCACCGAAGCATTTTTAGCCATCTGAAAACGCTGGACGCTCTGCTAAAAACGCCTATGGGCGTTTCGTTGCTATGATAAGGAATATCCGCAGCACAGTTTACTTGTAACTGATTTCGCAGATAATTTGTTTCATACTAAATTTATTTTTCATTCATTTTGTTCGGTTAGCTCCGCTGGTTGTTGTCGTTGTACAGAAAGAATGTTGTGACAGTTGGTCGGTGTGGTATTAGTCCCGCCCCTCCTCCACTGTGATTGGACGGTTGGGTAAAAAGTGACAGTGATGAGCGCTGCGTTTTACCCAAAGTTGAACATTCTTCAACTCTTGGCGACCAGTAAAAAACGCCGGGTGCTCAGCGCTTCAGCGTGAAAAAAAGGTTCAGCGCCTCTACGCTCATGGCGTTTAAAACATACGGCGCTCCCATTGAAAACAATTGAAAAAATACCCCAGGCCCGTGAAAAAACGCTTTGGTGGACACACGGCCTAAGACTGCATTCATTTGATCAAAAATACAGTAAAAAAGTAATACTGTGAAATATTACTGAAAATTTTTTAAATAATTTGACTTCCATTTGAATCTATTTTAAAATGTATTTTATTTCTGCGATGTCAAAGCTGAATTTTCAGTCTTCAGTGTCACATGATCCTTCAGAAATCATTCTAATATGCTGATTGGTGCTCAAGACACATTACTTATCTTCTATCTATCTATCTATCTATCTATCTATCTATCTATCTATCTATCTATCTATCTATCTATCTATCTATCTATCTATCTATCTATCTATCTATAAATTACAGGAACGTCTGTCTGTTAATAGAAAATCTCTCGAACCGTTAGTCCGATGGATTTCAAACTTGACAGGTGTCTTGCTACGGGCACGAGTAAGTGCAGTGCCGAGTTTGACGTTGTTTGGATTAGAAATTCAAAAGATATCGTTAAATATATCGGTAAAAGGACACATTGAAGTTGTGGTTTAAAAATAAACATCCTGACCTTAGAGAGGGTTGTGGTTTTAAAATTGTGGTTTAAAAATAAACATTGTCAGCTAAACATTAAGTCAGCTACACTGTTTACTTCTGAAGTAAAAAAGTAGCGATTCTTTTCAAGAAATGTAGCGATTCTTTTCAAGGTTGTTATTACACATTTATTACAATGTAATTATACATTTATTACAGTGTTGTTATACATTTATTATAATGCAATTATACATTTATTACTGTTATTATACATTTATTACAATGTAATTATACGTTTATTACAATGTAATTATACATTACAGTGTTATTATACCTTTGTTACTATGTAATTATACATTACAATGTAATTATACGTTTACTACAGTGTTATTATACATTTGTTACATTATTCTTTTTGAAAAAGTAGCGATTCTTTTTTAAAAAGTATGGTAGCGATTCTTTTTGAAAAAAGCAGCGATTCTTTTTTGGAAAAAATTGCGATTCTTTTTGAAAAAGTAGTGATTATTTTTTAAAAAGTATCGATTCACTTTTGAAAAAGTATCGATTCATTTTTGAAAAAAGTATCAATTCACTTTTGAAAAAGTAGCGATTCTTTTTGAAAAAGTAGCGAATCTTTTTTTGAAAAACTAGCGATTCTTTTTGGAAAAAGTAGCGATTCTTTTTGAAAAAAGTAGTGTAAAAATGTTTAATTATACATTTGTTAGTCTTATTATACATTACAATGTAAATATACATTTATTAGTGTTATACATTTTTTACAATGTAATTATACGTTTATTACAATGTAATCATACAATTTAATTATAGTTATTACAGTGTTATACATTTGTTACATTATTATTATTATACATTTGTTACATTATTCTTTTTGAAAAAGTAGCGAATCTTTTTGAAAAAAGTAGCGTAAAAAATTAAATTAATTTGTTACAGTGTTATTATACATTTGTTACATTATTATTATACATTTGTTACATTATTATTTTGTTACATTATTCTTTTTGCAAAAAGTATCGATTCACTTTCGAAAAAGTATCGATTCACTTTTGAAAAAGTAGCGATTCACTTTTGAAAAAGTATCGATTCATTTTTGAAAAAGTATCGATTCACTTTTGAAAAAGTAGCGATTCTTTTTGAATAAGTAGCGATTCACTACTTTCGAAAAAGTAGCAATTCATTTTTAAAAAAATAGCGATTCATTTTTGAAAAAGGAGCATTCTTTTTGAAAAAGTATCGATTCTTTTTTCAAAAAGTAGCAAATCTTTTTTTGAAAAAAGTATCGATTCTTTTCGAAAAAGTAGCGATTCATTTTTGAAAAAGTGGCGATTTAACTGACTCTGTAAGTCAGCTACACTGTTTAATTCTGAATACTATATTTTATTCTGGTGCGCTTAACGTTAGAGTTTAGGCTCCTGTGTAATAGTAGCCTAGCCCTAGGCTATTAAGCACCTCAAACATACCAAACCAACAATTACTAAAAACACATAAAAACTGATTTTGCACGGGCATTGCACTAGTTATTATCAATGATAAGATGATCAAATAATCAAAACCATGATACGTTATTTCCAGGGTTCTCTGAATGGAAAGTTCAAAAGAACAGCATGTATTTAATATGGAATTTTTGTAACATCATAAATGTCGTAACTGTCAACTTTGATCAATTTAATGCATTCTTGCTAAATAAAAAATATGAATTTATTTAACAAAAAACAAGGTAGTGTATGCTGTTGAACATACAGAATTTACCAGACAAATGTTTATTTTCTGAAGATCCACTGATTTATTTATTTATTTACTTACATTTTCTTAAGAAAGTGCCATTGCCACTTGCCTTTGCAGAAGTGGCCTCCATGATTCTAGGATGTTGTGTCTGGTTGCCAGGGCGTTGATATGCGGTTGCTAGGGTGTTCAAGGTGGTTACTGGGTGTTTGCTTACTTCCCAAAGTCACAGAGATCCCAAATCCATATTGAAATTTTAGCACTAATTATTTTTCTTTGAACAAATGAGTCAGGTGTCTTCATGATCTCCCACTGTGTGTTTTCAGATCAGCTGACTTGACCGCTCTGTGGGCCCACGCAGGACACCCTGGAGTCTGTCAGGACCACGGCCCAGAGGGCTCTCCTCTCTAGGGGGCGTGCTGGGGTGCCTAATGCCTCCAGTGGATCAGGAATAGGGCCACTATTTCTACAGCCACAGCGATAGAGGGGTGGCAAGCAACCCGTTGACTAAACTGGGGGAAGGGTTGCATCAAAGGAAAGGTCTCGGACTAAACAGAGAGTGACTGTGCTGTGCTGTCCTGTGTATCAGACTGTAGCAGACAGGTTGGAAACCTAACTGAGAATCACTGGAAGAAGCTGATGTGATGGATGCATCAGCATGATAATAGATGTGTGAGAAAGAGTATTTAAGGTATGCTGTTGACGTGTTTTCAACGCACGCTCTGGTTTTCGTTCTCCAAAAACACTACGTGGAAAGGACACAGTGAGTGGTTACATTCAGGTTGTCTGAAGGTGGAACTGGCAAGAGGGAAATATGAAGATAAACTTATGTATAACAGAATATTAAAACACTAACTTCATTTATGTGTTTCCCTGTGACACATTATGATCAGAAGTGGAAGGTACGTTGAGTTTTAAGATCACAAATATAATTTTTTTTAAAACATTACACTCTTTCAAAGATTAGTCTCCTGTGCTTGAGAAAAGCCAGACAAGAGTCCATGAAGTAACATCAGTGTTGCCTAGTAACAATGATAGCTAATATAAGTTTGAAATGATCTTCATATTTACATAAATTCAGATACTTAGATTCTGCAGATACAGGTGTGCCATCAGCCTGCTGTTTGTATGGCCTCTGTTGCTAAGTGCCAGATGAGTCCATCGATACTCCATTATCAAGGCAACACAGCGTCCTTCAGCGACATATGTTGTGAAATAAGTTTGACACTCAGATATCTCAGTAGAGCCCAAAAGGCTCAGATGGGACAGGACGTGTGTGTGTGTGTGTGTGTGTGTGTGTGTGTGTGTGTGAGAGAGAGAGAGACAGAGACAGAGAGAGAGAGAGAGAGAGAGAGAGAGAGAGAGAGAGAGAGAGAGAGAGTCAGAAAGCACAGGTGGATCAGCAGATCAAATAAGACAAACAGTGATTATAGTAAGTCTTTGAGCCTATAGGATTAGATGCTCTTCTGGCGCCACAATTATAGATTTAAAAGGCCCCAAAAATGAACATTCTGTCATTGTTTACTCACCCTCATAGCTTTTGAAACCCAAAAGTTTTTCTTCTGTGGAAAACAAAAGGAATTTAAGCAAATATCTGCTCTTTTTCATACAATGAAAGTGAATGGTGACCATGTCTGTCAGAAAAGATTTTTCAACTTAAATTTCAGTTTATTCCTTTCACAGACCTATAAAAGGCTTTAGAAGACTTGACTCAAGTCCTATGGACAAGTATGGTGTTTTTTGGTCTTTATTTTTGGAGCTTGAACAGTTGTTGGTTGCCATTGACATTCATTTTTTTCTTTTTTGTGAGCTGCTCTCTTTTATAAAAAAAGTTGTATGGTTTGAAACAACATGCGAGGAAATAAATGATTACAGAATGAATGTTTAGATGCCATTGGCTCATGATAAAGATATCCTGAAGCCTTCATGTGTAGTACTGTGAGCGCTTACCTGTTGCCAATGTCATTCTCAGAGTATTTTAATACTATGCTATTGATTCTGCTCTCATCTGTTTATATCTGATGATATGATATGATATAATCAGTGTTTGAATTGTGTCAGAAATCAGATGAGAGGTGTTAAATGCACGTGCAAAATTAATTTCATTTTCATTTGATGTAGCACAGACGTGTCCAAAAACGGTCCTGGAGGAACACCGTCCTGCAGAGTTTAGCTCCTCAACACACCTGCCTGGAAGTTTCTAGTATGCCTAGTAAGACCTTGATTAGCTGGCTCAGGTGTGTCTAATTGGGGTTGGAGCTGAACTCTGCAGGACAGTGGCCCTCCAGGAGCAGGATTGGACACACTTGATGTAGCATATATAGTGTACTACTTAAAGGGACCGTTCATCCAAAAAAGACAATTCTGTCATTATTTACTCACTCATGTCGTTCCAAACCTGTTTGATTTTTTTCCTGTGGAACATAAAACCAACATCCTTCGAAATGTATTTTATGATTTTTATTTTATTTTTTAGGCCCAACTACTTTAATGTTCACAATTTAAGTATGTCTTTCAGAGCTTTGGAGTACAGGAACCTCCTGTGGGAGATTTATAAGTGTTTATACTTTCACTTATTGATAGGTGAGTGTTACAGATAAAGTGTTTTAAATATCATTTGACCAAATCATTGCCCATGAGTACACATTATTTGACTTATGAGCAGCAGTACCCATTTCAACACAATTTCTTGTGCAAACATCTTTTGACAACTCGAGACGTGCATTGAAAAACTGATGACTCTCGCCACCTCTTGGCCATAAAAAGTTATGGCCAATATTAATGCTGTAAAATGATAAATCTTGTCATTACTGTATTGACTAGTGATATGAATGTTTCTGGTTGATACCAGCCAGGTCTACTTGAGGAAAAGGTGTCTATTTATACTATTTAAACGATTTTCACAAAGGTCTTATTTTAGTCATTTCAACTATATATTGAACATTAAACACAGACATGTGCATTTAAGCAATTAATTATGTAAGTTTTTTTTACCAACGCTAAAATAAGGTTGTGTGTGCAGTGAGCAGGTCATCTCAGCGTCTCAGGGTTGCCAGTGAAAATAAGCTTGCCACATAAAACCGAATATTAAACATCAAGGGACTTTTACCATCTTGACTGGAATATTTGGAAAACATTTATGTAATGTTAGCTGGAACGCGTTTTGTATGTTTGACAGGTAAATATATTAAAGTATTTATAGTTATGAAGATAAAACTGGAATTAGATTTGAACTTGGTCTGTTTTAACTGGAATGAAATTATTAATTGAATACATCACATGTGGAAATGTTCCATTAATCCTGTATCGCACTGTTAGAATTCACTTGCTGTAAATGGGAAAACCTCAATAAACACACTACCCTAGCATTGACTAATCACAACTATTCAAAATTCTACAGTTTGTGTTTAATATCTCATAATGACTGGTTTAAACTGTGATTGTGACTGAAATGTTTAGGATTTGCAAGTAATACAAATAGATGTCTATCGCCCCCATGTGGCCACTGTATTTCTAAGCATGTCACAAGCACACTGCATCATGGGGATCTGCATACTTTCTGTAGAATTCTTGTATTTAAGTTATTTTCGTCATTGTAACTGCTGATATTTACTGCCACAATAAATGACACAATAATAATGCAAAAAATATTGAATAACTTGCCCTCTTTATTGGCAATAAAAATGTTTGACACCAAGACACTGAGATTTTTCCTTTATGGTTTATTTAATCATTCAAAAACCTTTAAACATTGTTTCCCAAAACAGCAGAAAGCTCAATTCATCGATTTCAAGGTTTCCACACAGTCAGCAAATTAACATTCACATGTGAGCGTCAAGAAATGAACTGACGTTTTTACTCACAAGTTAAACAAAACCTCATTGGGGGAGACCAAAAAGAACATTTTCAAGTGCTGATTGTTGAAATAACAGGATGGACATTGAGAACTAATTAAGTCAAAGTAACAATTCCATAAATAAAACTAGAATAACAAAAGTTTTGTAGCTTCTCTAAGATAAGGCTTCTTCAGATTCAGAGTTGGGCAGCGTAGATCAGGCAGTAGATTCGACCGATGTCAATCATCAATGAGGAAGAAAGATGAAAACAAACCCAGCAACACAAAGTTCATCCCGGGGTTTTTTGGCGACCCAACCACGCACTTCTAAATAAGTGAAGTAGTTTGAATTGTCTGGTGGAAGCAGAACCGTTTAGACCAACCGTACACATGCAGAAGCACATTGTTCATTCAGAGGCGATCTCGGTAAAGCAGACTCCAGAGGCACCATGGGAATGATGAGATGTAATGTAATCTGCTCATTCAGAGGCCTGCGTCTCTCTCAGTCTACCACCCTCACAGAATTGTGGGTCCCCTTTGAAGCTGTAGATCGCAGTAACTGTCTTTTTTCAGCTAGTGAACTGTCTTCCCTGTCCAAAGCCAGCCTGGTTATACTGTTGCCCACCTTGCTGAAAGAACTGCTCGAACTGCCCGCCTTGGTTAAAATTCTGCCCTCCTCTTCCACCCCATCCTCCTCCCTGCCCACTTCCTCTCCCTCCTCCTCCTCCTCCTCCCCGCCCTCTACCCCCACGACCGCCCCTTCCACCTCTCTCCTGATGTCGACCTCCGTCCTGATAGTAGCCCTCATGCTGGAAACTCGCACCTCCGGCTTGGTAGCCTCCTCCTGTGTACCCCGGTCCTTGCTGGCCTCCTTGGTAGCCTCCTCCTTGGTATCCAGACCCCTGCTGGCCTCCATGGTAGCCAGCTCCACCTCCTCCTCCTCCTCCTCCTCCATAACTGCTTCGATATCCACCATCCTGGTAATGACCCTGGTATCCACCTCCGCCAGAGCCGTCCTGCCAGTTCCCCTGAGCTTTACCCCCACGGTGGTCTCCTCTCCCACCTCTGCCGCCACCACCTCCTCTGTCATGACCTCCGCGGCTGCCCTGCTGCTGGTCATAACCACCTCGCCCACCACCTCTTCCTCCTCCACCACCACCACCACCGGAGTAGTACTGTCCTCCGCCACCCCCCTGTGGACCATCTTGCCGTTTCTGCCACGTAGGCATCTCCGGAGGTGGGGGTTCGATCTCATTGGGTCTCCCTCCTCGATCAGGCACACGACCCATCAGTACCTTATAAACGTAAGAATATTCACTAGTATGTACACTACCGTTCAAAAGTTTGGGATCAGTACGTTTTTTAAATTAATACAGAAATTAATACTTCTATTCAGCAAGCATGAATTAAATTGATCACAAGTGACAGTAAAGACATTAATAATCAGAGCTTGACATTAACTTTTTTGCACTGTGGCTAGTGGTTTTCCAAAGTTACTAGCCACTCAGCATTTTCACTGGCCACAATTTTGACATCGATACCATAGGGAAAACTGCCATATATTTTTTTTATATGATCTCATTTGGCAGCTGGTATATTAGGCTGCTGTCACATTAAGACCTGACACACGGACCCATTATACGGTTTAATATTGCCTATATACTTGGTGCGCACTTTGGGTGTGAGCACAAAATTATGCAAAATACGCTCAATCCCACGCCGAAATTCAAGCCCTGTAACACCAACAATATTCATCCAGAGCAAATGAAACGAGTGAATAAAGGGACGCGGGTTTGTGCGTCACTCGCTGTCGGAGAGATCAGAGAGCGAGAACGCGCAGCTGGTATTGTGTATCCTGCGGAAGAGTTTCAGATGTTTCAGTATAGATATGTGTATCGAAAAATCTATATTTTTGACAACGCCACGTTGCACGTAGTTTATTATTTCAGATGCCTTTTTAAAAGACTACAATCGGAAAATGTATATTATATCAAATTCAACCCGCCAAAGTGGCTAGTAGGAGTGACTGCGTTACAAGCGACTGCTGAAATCCACCCGCATTTGGCGGAAATTAATGTCAAGCCCTGTTTATAATGTAACAAAAACTAATTTCTATTTCAAATACATTATGTACTATTGAACTTTCTATACCTCAAACAATCCTGAAACAAAATTATCACCATTTCCACAAAAATATTGAGCAGCACAACTGCTTTCAACATTGATAAGAAATGTTTCTTGAGCACCAAAGCAGCATATTAGAATGACTTCTGAAGGATCATGAATTGAAAGTGAAAATGCATTCAAAACTAACTCACCTTGTTAATGGCACAGGCCGTTTTCTCCCTGATGTGACCACTGCTGGTTCTCAGGATCTTTGATAAATCTTCTCTAGCAGCAAACAGGTGGGCCACAGACACTCTGGTTTTAGCAGCCAGCGCCACACGAAGAGGCTGGTACACTTTTGAAAGTTTATCAGCGTGCGTCTGTACAGAATTACAAAAGCAGAGTGATTTTAAATTTCACTCAAACCACATTGCTCATTCTTGTAGCTTAATGAGTGTAAACTTGTTTTTATGTTATACATGAAGTAAAAGGGAGATTCTGGTACCTTGGCTCTTCCTGACCAGCCAAAAGATTGCACAGTCACATCCAGTCGTTTCAGCAACATCTTCCTTCTGACTTCATACTCATTCATAAGTGCTTGGTTTATTGCTTCAATTTTCTCCTGGAGTTAAAATTTAACCATTTAAACGAAAACATTTAACACAATGTTCAAATCTAAAATGATTAATTTAATCATTTTAGAATATAAAATCAAATTCAGAGCTTACCCAATGTACAGGACCCAGTGGTTTCTTCAGTAGTGGTTCTCCTATATGAGATGAAGGGACCTTGGACAAAGCTTCCTTCAGCTGAGGGGCAAATACATTTGACTAGAACATACTTGCTCAATTTACAAACAAACAATGACCAAAAAATGTGTACATGCATTATTTTGCTAGCAAAATAGATTCTTTGCCATCTTTAAAGGGATAGTTCACCCCCCCAAAAAAACCCATTGACTTCCATAGTATTTTTTTCCATACTATGGAAGTCAATGGGGTCCATCAACTGTTTAAAACTCATACAGGTTTGAAACAACTTGAGGGTAAATGACAGAATTTAAATTTTTGGGTGAACTATCCCTTTAATGTCAGGTTCATAACAGGTGCATCGCTCTAAAGTTGATTACCGTAATCTGGATTATTGTGTACAGTTAATAATTAATTGGCTCTAATTATTAGTGTTAAATATTATTTTTGTTAACTGAAATAAAGCTGAATTAACATAAAATATAAATACTAGATGAACTTAAACTGAAAGTTAAGTTTAAATTGAAGTACTAAAATGACTAAAACTAAACCGAATAAATATAAAGCTAAATAGAAATATAAAAAACTAATAATAAAATACAAAAACTTAAATTAAAATACAAAAAAAGTTAATTCAAAATATGAATAAATACTATAAAAGTATATAAATAATCCCAAATTAACACAATTGTGAAAGTGTCCACACAGAGGTTTTATGCACAAATACATTAGTGAATGTGTGGGCATGCACATAGACTGTAGAGGGCATGCAGTAAATGTATAAAATAAAATAAATCCCCACTGAATAAACCTCACCTTTTTCTCAATCCCGCTGAAGAACTGGAACATGGTGATGTTGGCAGGCGGTTTGGACATGCCCAGAGCCATACAGATGCCCTTCAGCTCTATGAAAACATTACTCTCCTGCACCTTCTTCTGAGGATGGTTCACCAGGCTCATCCTGGACGACTCAAGCTCGGAGATCAAGAAGCCTGGAAGAACAATAGTATGAAAAAACATGGATGTCATTGAGATACTATATTTTTTGTTAATATTTTGACTAAGTTATGTTTATATTTTCCATTTTCACGGAAGGGGGGGGGGGGGGGGGGGGGGAGATTTATATATATATTAGGGCTGTCAATCGATTAAATTTTTTTATCTAATTAATTACATACTCTGTAATTAATTAATCTAAATTAATCGCATACACAATCTTACAATGTTTATATGGTACAATTTCTGGTAAGCTACGTTTTTATTATTATTGCTTGACACAAATTTCACGATTTCAATTTAATTTAATTCTTGTGATTTGATGCAATATTGACTCATTTGGATAAATATTAGGTACACAAGATAGGCATTCATTTTTCTCAAGAAAAAAAATATCTCACCCAATGCTGTAAAAATACAGAGAGCCATATCAGCTGGTAGTATTTAAGGTTAAAAATAGCTCAAATTAAATATAATGTGTGTTTATTACAAATAACAACTTTGATAACGGCTAAGTAAAAATATAATACATATGTAATATAGTAGTAGGCTACATAAATTTAGAAAAATACTCTCTATAGCTCTTATAGCCAACTATAACGTGCTATATGGTCATGAAATGGCTTTCCTGAGGTAACTTAGGCTAAATGTTATGTGACATAATTGTTCTCCAGCTGTTTTATTGACCTCTTTTCGCGGTTGAAAAACACTGATTGATCGAGGAATATACATTTCGGTAAGTTTTAGGCTGCCCTACTGTATCTTTCAACATTGGTCATTCGTGTTTATTGAGATGATCGGTTCACGTGCCGCTAGGGATCTGTCATGTCACATTTACAAGCGCCAAAACGGTATTTATTGTTTGATTTTCGTAATAAAATTGACAGAATCTGAGAGCTGAGATTTTTTTTTATATCATAAGTAACGTGCTCTGTCTTGTCTGTTTCCGTGTCCTCATTGGTGCGCGATTTTTCTGTGCATGAGAAAATGGTTGTGTGACGTGAGAGCGCGTGAAAAGTTACAACACACACACACACACAAGCGCGCTTTCTCTCAGACACACTCACCGACTCACGCACACACTCCTGGATGCTTTGCGTTGATGTGGTACTTTAGAGTTGACGAACTCCGTTTGTTATAAGTAAATGTTCCAAACAATGATCCAAGCAGCGCGTTCTTGTCTCCCTCCTTTTTACACGAATGGTGGCTACGGCTAGAACAGCTCCGCAAAGGTCAAAACGGAATGGATTAATCTGCGTTATTTTTTTTAACGCGTTATTTCTTCTCAGATTAATTAATCGAAATTAACGCGTTATTTTGACAGCCCTAATATATATATATATATTTATATATATATATATATATATATATAGCCTATAGAGTTTATTCATTTTAATTTCAGTTATTTTTAGTACATCAAGATAAATTAAATGAAAATTAGAAATGTGCCTTGCTAACTAGCTGAAATTATATTTATATATAAATATATATATATATATATATACACATATATATATATTAGGGGTGTAACGGTTCAAATTACTCACGGTTCGGTTTTTATCACTGTTTTAGGGTCACGGTTTCGGTACAGTTCGGTATGTGCTATGGTCAGGGAAAAATGACTACTGTCAAATAAAAATAAAGAAAATAAGAACAAATAATCAAACTACAAGCAACATCACAAATAAATACAATATAGAAAAGATACAAATGCTTTCAGGTTTTTCGGATCTAACGGTAGTTTTCATGTACAGAAATTGAATAAAGTAATCAATTGTAAAACAACATTGGATATAATTAAAGGTTTAAATCAGTTTTTTTTTACTCTTAATCAGGTTTTTACATTTTAACTTATTTTAAAATCTAAACTAGAGTAGTCAGTGAGTGATTTCCTTGTTTTTTGTTGTTTGATTAACATTAAAAACACATACAGACAGCAGGAATATTAGGCTGCTGTCACTTTAAGACATAATGCACAGATCCAGTATACTGATACTGATTCACATGTGTTGTCTTTCTTGACTGTTTATGTTCACTTAAGACATAACCTACTGTGTTTGCTAGGATACTCACCAAGGCGGTCATGTTGACAATCTTTGTGTCAATTTGTCCATTCAAGTACAAGACTTGACAGAGTACTCAATATTTGTGCGCTGTCTGAGACGCAGCTTTCCGTGTGCATGCTTCAGATGAGTGCGCACACAAATCTTCTCATAGCGCACACGAGTACTCATTCGTGTCTTCTTGCGCTTGAATGATTAAATTTGCCATGCTTAAATGAGTTTAGTTTAAACACAGAGAGCAATGTGTGCAGTTCAGGTCTCACCTGCGCTCACGCACTATCAACACCTGAGTGATGACGACGTAAATGACTGGTCATATTAGAGCATACGGCACTCGCACTGAACAAAGAATGCGCATATCCATCGACAGAAACATACATTAGCAGAATTCTGTCTGTCTGTTTTGCGCATTGTTATTTTCAACAAACAATATTATAGAAGCGTATGCATCATCAGATTTGAGATGAACCACGGTGCAAGTGCCTGCTGAACCGTGGGTGGAGAATGATACGGTCAGATTTTTTACAGAGAACTGTTACACCCCTGATATATATATATTTAGTTATTTCAGTAAATATTTATTTCAAGTAATTAAATTCCACAACAGCCCCATTTTGAAAAGCTTTATAAAGGAGCACAGGAATGAGCAGATGATTTTGTTTACATACCTAGCAGTAACAGGCAGTTGTTTGCATTCAGCAGACGTTTTGTGACCTCTCCAGTGATGAGAGCAGGATATGGACAGCACAGCTCAGATAAAAGCCCACTCATCTCCAGCTGAAACCCCTCAGCCTCGCTCGGACCTGCACATGACACACCAAAACCAACATCAGACTAGCACCCACTTAAGGCCCCCTGGACCCCAGTTTGAAAACCCCTGCCATAGATTATATTATGTGTGTGGGATCACACTCACAGTTGGTCGCCTGCACATTTTCCTCTAGTTTGCAATAGAGCTTCAGCTCAGACACAAGCCAAGCACACACTTTAGTGAACTCTGGAGATGCAGCACCACCAGTCACCGCTGTCTCAAGCGCTCCCTCCTCTAGGAGTGGCCCCTGGTATCTGCAAACACACACATACACACTTTTCTGAGCAGCTTATTTGACTATGTTTGCTTTTCAAGACGGTCCTGGGTCATTCTACACTTTCTCTGCTATTTGGGAGAATGTGAACTAACCCAACGACGTTGTAAAAGTGCAATATCTAACAGATCTTAGCTCTGGTATTTAATTTACCTATTACATCTAAAGGTCTTCATTCTTATACACAACGCACCCATCCCCACTAGTTCTGCACTGATTCTAGAACAGTCTATGGACCTGATGTTTTTGTAAACTCGTCTGACACTTCGGGAACTGGAAATGTGGTGACAGAGTTGTGTTCATTTAGGCTATGATGACTCAGGCTATTTATGGCACTGGAGATATTTGAGATATTTGAGCACTGCTGACGCTGCACGGCCCAATCAAATCATTGATGATAGAAATCATGCTGTCAAATACATATGCCAATATCCCCCGCTTTGATATAATATGACTAAAAACAGATCACAGAGTGCAAAATATTTGAAGTGAACAACTTAAAGCAGATTCAATTAGCAGCAGTTCATAATAGGGTAACGTTAAGCGGTTCTGTGTCTCAGATCTGGAGAACACCGGCAAACGCAGGGACATGCGTGCACGAGGGCAGATTTATGCCGTTAAACCGAAAATCAGACCGGGTGAAAAAGCAATAATAAATAAATGATTAAAAGTTTATAACGGGAGGTTTGATTCACCTACCCCAGGTCCTCCAAAGAATCAAGAATATCGCTAAACTCCATTGTAAATCACTCCCTCTAGCAGCCGTGACTGCAATGCTAGGTTGGCATAATGGGGTCCTCCTTCTTTTAGGCGACCATAAATATGCCGGACTATAATTCCGTCCTAAATGTACTTTTTGGCTTCACAAATTATCTTAAAGATGAAAAACAATTCAATTCAAATTATTATTAATTGAATTATAAAATGAATCATTTGATGTAATCATTTAAATTCATATACATAAATGTAAATGTACATACATGGAGAAAAGTCTGTGGCCTATATATGTTCTAGAAGCTTTGAATAAATAAATAAAAAACTTTTAATTAATTTAGCATTTTCTTTACTGTGCATTTTTAATTTTTAGTACTTTTAAAAGTCTTTTTAAATAACGTAAGTGAAAGAGTTTTGAACAGGCATTGGAACAGAGACACTTTTGTGATCTGCGCTGTGGTTCCAGTCCTGCATGCGGCGCTGTGGCTGCGTTCGATCAGATTCATGTAGACACACAGGAGCTCTAGAGTGAATGGGAAAATAAATTCGTTGTAGCTACACGCTATGAGCTACACAGGATTTGATCAGATATCATAATCCAAGCACGAAAATGTACCGAGGTCCGTCGAACCCGGACTACCATCGAGCACCGGTACCTCCGTCTGGTTTCGGACACCCCGCAGCATCATTTAGACCTCCGCCCTTCTGTCCTCCTTTTGGGGTTCCTCCGGGGCCTCAATACTGCGCTCCACAGCCGGGTCCTCCTCCGGGACGCCCGTACGGAACAGGGAATGAAAACTACAACAGAGAATCATTCTACGAGGTGCGTGTTTTTACTGGCAGTTATAAAACCAATCAAACAGCATTATTTTCTTGTCACAGCATGTGTCTAGATCCACCTGATGGAATAGTTTTTATTAAAATTAACAGTATTAAATATCTTTGGATTTCATGCAAGTGATGCATTTTCTTTTTGAATGCTTTCTGGGTAGAGCAGACATGCAATGTCCTGCAGTATTACATGCCATAGTTAATTTAAAACTACTTTAAGCATGCATTTACAACGTCACTAATTTGCTTGATTGATTGGTGACCTGCAAACATTAGTCATACTTTTCTTCGTTTAAAAATGTTGGATTTCAAAATCTTTCTTTCTAGGTTTATATGACGGACTTTTGTACTGATATTATATGAATCTTTCATATCTTTATTGACATGTTTGTCAGTATGTTGTGATATTTCTATAGTCTTTTCATTGCTGTCTCCCTCCTGCAGAACCGACCCTTCACCGGCCGCACTGCTGACCAGACTGGATCCACGATCATCAGCTCTCAGCTCACACCTTCAAATCAGCATCAGCTTGGTCAGCCTTCACAAAGCTGGTCAACCCAAAGTCTAGATGAGCAAAACCAAGAAGTCAGGTATGAGAAACTAAACAATGAGATTCAGAGTTGTTTGTATGTTTACAACAATCTTTTACAATTTAAGCCTGCCCTGATGAATCTTGTCATCGTCATCCTGGAATATGGCCATGATGTGTCTTACTACATGGTTGTCTAAGAAATGAAAAGCTACACAATCCATCAATTAGGATTAGAAGAACTGTTGCCAAACATATTACATGCTAGAAACTTAATAATCACTGCAATACTGATACAATCATAGACTCTTAAGCATTTGCCTATTTTAATCCAAACAGCAACTTTTGTTTGGCCGGACAGTGTGTGTGTATATATATATACACACACACACACACACACACACACACACACACACACACACACAGCCTAGCGTTCAAAAGATTGGACTCTGTAATATTATTAAAATGTTTTTGAAAGAAGTCTCTTATGCTCACCAAACATGCATTTATTGGATAAAAATAGAAATACGGTAATATGTGAAATATTATTAAAATTTAAAAACTATCTATTTTAAAATGTAATTTATTCCTGTGATGCAAAGCTGAATTTTCAGCTTCATTACTCCAGTCTTCAGTGTCACATGATCCTTCAGAAATCATTCTAAAACGTTCAATTGCTTCTCAAGAAACATAGTATTTACATTTGTGCATTTAGCAGACACTTTTATCCAAAGCAACTTAAATAAGAACAAAGCATTCAAGGAGCCAACCAATCGTTGTAGTACAAAATGGCAGGTTTATTATACAACTAGATTAGGAAACCAGCTAGAGAAGAGAAGTGTGTGTGTGTGTGTTCATTGGTTTCAGTGGTCTTAAAAGCCAGTGTTAGAACTTTGAACTTGATTGAAAACTAGACGAGCTGTTGCATATTATTATTATTATTATTATCATCAATTTTGAAATATTTAACTTAACTTTTTTAACTGTGATACTTTTTTCAGTAATAAATGGCTTTATTTGAAATAAAAAATGTTTGTAACATTATAAACTGTCGTGTTTATCAATTTAATACGTCCTTGCTGAGTAAAAATCTTATTGACCCCAAACTTTTGAACAGTAATGTGTATGTGTGTGTGTACATATAAACTGTTGATTAACCCTAAATCCATTTCAATGTGTTACAATGAAGGAAAAAGGCAGAGGAGTTTCTCCGAATCCTGCAGGCAAGTGACCGGATTGAGCTGGCAGTAGATAAAAGTGACACCAGTGATCGCACTGCAGACAAGCATCCCAGCCGAGCGCGAAGTCGGAGCAGAGGGAGGAGCCGTCCACGCAGTCGCAGCAGGAGTCGTGGAAGGAGCCGGGCTCGTAGTCGAGCTCGGAGTCGCGGAAAGAGTCGGGCTCGCAGCAGAACACGCAGCCATAGTCGCAGTCGAGCTAAAAGCCGCCCTAGGGCCAAAAGTCGTGCGAGGAGCCGCAGTCGCAGCCACGGGAAGAGCGTAACCAGCAGTAAGAGTCAGTCACGCCTGAGCCCCAGTCAGACCAAACAGTCTTACAGAGGGACCGCAGAAGGCAATCACAGCTCTAGCAGCACCAGCAGCGGAGTGAGCCTTGGTGCTAGCGCCATGCCTGATCTATTTCATGGACTAAGACAGATCCTACAGAACCAAGATCTAGAGAAACACCTGCCTATTGTCAAGAATGCCCTCCTTAGAGACCAGGTGCGCACCACTGTTATGTGTTAGTTCTTTTTTGGTATATTGGTCATTGACATGATGTTAATATTTTTGTTGATTGAAGTTACTTTATTTAAAAAAATGTTTTATTAATGAGAGACCTATAATAATGATTTAGATTTTAGAGCTGCCGGGATGGATTTTGCGGGAAAAAGCATGATATGCATGTCACGTCAAGCACGTGCAGAGAAATATAGCTCCGGATGTGGGTAGCGTGAACGAGAAAAAAATGACCATAGATCATTAAAAAAAAATGACAAACCTCTGGGGAATCACCAGTTCTAAAAACAAAAGCTTTAAAAATATATTAAAAATGCAATTCATAAAGACTTGAATAATTATTGTCTAAAATGATAAATGAATCAAATTAATTTTGATAGTTTTTTGAGGGCTTACTGAAGGGCTTGAGAAGTAAAAACATCTGATTTTAGAATAAAGAAACGCGCTTAATTAAAAGGTTAAAAAAAGAAACCACTAATTATGTAGTTTGGCTTAACCTTTTATTAATCTTTTAAAAATGTAATGATATTTATGAATTTATAATTCCATGTGTGTGTATATATATATATATATATATATATATGTGTGTGTGTTTAATGTTTTTAGAGCGAGTACATTTAAATGAAATCGAATTGAGTGCAAAGAGTAAATTTTTAAGAGCTTAACTAGATTACATTTACTTGTCACATTAATTGATTTTTAAAATACTTTTACTTTTCTTTGTTGTTGAGACGCTTGTCATTGATGTTTGTTTTACCTTGCCGACGTTTCCAGACCATTTAAAATTCGTAATTTGCACCAGAAGTAATGTGAATTCTCTTCTCTTACATTCTAAACAGAGTACTGATGACACAAGGGGAATGTTTCTGGGAAATCAGTCTGCAGTTGGAGGCTTCCAGAACCCAGAGCCGAGGTTTGAACCTGAAACCTCTGCTGAACTCTGTTATGGTGCCCTGCTTCCTCATGAGAGGGCTGGCGGAGACCGCAGCAGCGTTTCCAATATCTTATCCTGGAACACACCCAACCAGCTGCCTGAATCCAAGCCTTCATTCCAGAGTGTTGAAGATGAAGAGAAATTCCTGTATGGAGAGCAAGAGGAGAGATCCAAACCTCAAGCTGTGACTGTCCCGTTGGCCCAGACAAGATCCGCAAGGTCTCCGGTTCATCATCTCGGTAAAGAACAGCAGACTCACAATCTCCAGGAACCCAAAGCACACGGCATGCCTGCTAGCGTGCAGCCTCCTGGTTTGGGCACGATGAAAGTCACTACAGAGGAATGTGAGAAGGTGAAAAACCTCCTGAGGACCATCGGCCTGAATCCAGGCATGACTGACATCTGTAAAATGGCTGCCAGACTAAAGGAGAAAAATGAAGGACAAGGAGCGGCCGCCTCGTTCCCGTTGCTCAAACCAGCCCTGGAGGCGCTGCAAGCACTGTCCAGAGGTCAGAGCCAGCATGTTTTGCACTATGAATTTGATTAGTTTAGTTGACACTTTTATCCAAAGTGACTCTGCAAATTTTATGATAACAGTCAGTATAACAGTATAACAATAACAGAGTTTTGAATACTGAATATTCAATCCATGTCAGCAGGATTTAAAAAATCTTCTCAAAAGGGTTTTTTCAAAAACTTTAAAGTTTGCATAAAGCTGAATTTATCTATAAAACAAAGTTTGATTAGAATCTGTACTACAATTGGTTGGAATTGAATTAACTCATCTTTTAAGTTGCAGGATTGTGTCAGGAAGTTGTTGAAAGTATATTTTAAGTTTGTTTTCTGTTAGCCATCTCAAAAAAAGATAAAAAGACCTAGAAGTTTTCACAGCAAACCTGCGCTTGTAATGCATTCAACTTTTTGTATCTTTTTTCAGCATCCAAAACGGATGACAGTAGGAGTAATCGCTCTGGAAGCAGCCATTCTACTCAAGAATCCAAGCGTGAGGAGAAGGTAGAGGTCTTTATTAACACCATCACCCCAGTATTATGATGACAAGCTCC